GAAAGGAAAGGAAAGGAAAGGAAAGGAAAGGAAAGGAAAGGAAAGGAAAGGAAAGGAAAGGAAAGGAAAGGAAAGGAAAGGAAAGGAAAGGAAAGCTTCTCTATAAATTCTTATACTCCAGACACCATTCCTCAGAGGCCAGCCCTAATAAACCCATCACCACAGCAATACTATAACTCAGCGGTGCTCAACTCCTGGCCTTTCATAGCCTTGCCTCTGACTCCTTTCTCAGGGGCTCCTGCACCAAGCATTCAGTGCATCACTTACCCCCCAGGCAACAGCATTTTAATGCCAACACGGGACACAACTACACCACACGACCAAAGCACAGCTCAGAGATCCCCGAGCCTGCCCAGAGTGGCCCAACAAGGCTGGAAATGGAGGGTTACAGCCAGCAGGCAATGCAGTCCTGTACAACCATAAGCATTTGGTCCCCAAAATTAGCTATCCCATTCGGAGCAATACTCCAGTGACAACCCCACTGCTCTATTTGGAAGCAGTGAACTAGCTAGCAATGTCCTGGCTAACAAAAAAGGCTCTGTGATTAATTAACTCCATTGCACTATGAGCAGGGAAACATGAGCTTCAAGCTTCTAAATCTGAGCAAGGGTTTGACTCTGATTCTCCTCTTTCACGAGTAAATAAATAAGCCACAAAGCTGTGTGAAACGTCAGGTCCCTCATTCTAATAATCCAACCAAACTACTCAGGAAATTGTCAGCAAGACAGCACAGCCAAAATGCCTCTCTCAACTCCATTCCTTTGTGGGTTAGCCTTGATGCCAAACTAGTAACCAGAAAGAGACAAAGACCAGTGAAGCCAGCGCTGTTTTGAGTTGCTGAATTGATTGAAATCTGCATTTGTTTTAATTCCTCTGCCCCTCTCTCTAGGCTTGTTCAATGACAAAATGACTGCTGAAGGTGGAGGCCTGCGAAAAGCGTTACACGTTTCAGTGCTGCACCTTGGGACTTGGAATAATAACCACATAAAAGAGATAAATGTGTATTTATAATATCACCTTTTAAAGCAATTGCTTAAAAGAAGCCTGCTATAGAAACTCAGATGTGTAATGCTTGACCTTGCTGAGTAATCTTGCTAATATCAAGAGAAATTATAATTATTCAGTTGTGAACAAAAAAGGTGCTGTTCATACTCGCAAAGGAAGCACTTCGGTGTAAGAGGGAGAGCGAAGGAGGAACGTGCCCATTCCCTCATGCTCCTTGGATGAGTCTCTGCAAGGACCTCCCACCCTCAGTGGAGATGCACCAGTGACTGCAAGTGCTCCTAGGCATGAACAAAACATGAACAAAACAAAACTGAGGCACCCACCTCAACAGGGACATAGCCCAGCTCTGCAAGGCAGAGCCCACACACTCAGTAGAGAGATCCTCTACTCATTTCCTGCAATTCCTTGACTTCTTGTTGAGACATTTTCCTGGAAATGTCTTGGGAAGCCTCCAGTCACTTTTATTTAAAAAGAGAGGGAAAAAAAAAAGAAAAACAGCTTTACTCCCACAATTTTTATCCTAAGGGAAAAAATACAATAACTGTACAACGGCACAATAAAGAGTTCCCACTTGTGCAGGTTGATTTAGGTTGTCAAATTCTGAATGATCCTCTGGACTGCATTTTATCTGAGATTGTCTCAGCTACATCTACTTAACCTGGACTAAAAACATTTGAAGTGGAAGAGCAGCATCAGAGCAAGGCAGTCACCAGTTTTGCTCATGATCTCCAAGAAAGAAATGTCATATTGACAGCATAAATGCACTCAGCATGAAATAAAGAATTTCATGGCCATAACACCTGAAGGAAGAAAGGAAAACACTATTAGCCTAAGCCAGTGTGCACTTAGAGCTGACTCTCTGCTCCTGCTAAAGAAGACAAACACTGTTAACGTTTTCTGCATTTGTCTCTTTTTTCTTTTTCTTTTTTAAAATAAAATTAATGTCAAGTAAAATATTGTGCCGCAGTTTCCATACCACACAGTACAAATTCAACCTACCTACAAGGATCACTGCTTTCCTGGACCTAGACAATCCAAGCACATTATGTTTCATCACACAACAGATTCTCCATAATGGCTTGTAACAAGAACTGCCATTCTTTAACAGTTCCACTGAATAATCAAAAACTGTAATTGGCTTTTACATCACACATCTCCAATGGGATGGGATTAAGTCAGAATGCTTAGGCTTTTTGTGGATTTTATGCAGGTAAGGATAAAAATGTAGAGAGAGTCATGTAGAAAGACAGTGTTGAAAGATGCAAGTGGGAGAGACTGCAGAATAAAGATATTGTACTAAATGTGTGGTAAACACATGGAATTGTGTTTAATCCTACCAGTTTCACAGACCTGAAACTGGCAGAAATGAGTATAGCGATGCAGATATATGATGCACCTGACTCCAGCTATTCTGAAACAGCAAGCACAACCTGAAAAGCACCCAAGAAAAGTTTAGGTTCAAGACACACAGAACAATGTGATGCTATTTAATCAGATTTTCAATCTTAACGTAACTTTTCCTCCAACATCCTCAAAAATACATTCAAAAAATATTCATAATACTATTTTAAGACACAAAATGAAACAGAATGCTTTAAAATCTCCAGTAAATTCTGATCAAATCTCTTCTGAACTCCTCCTTGGTAGTCCACTCTTCGGCCAACTTCTGAATTTTGTTATTTTGCCAGACAAGAAGAGGTTGGGTTGTAGATCACCTTCTGTTCAAGCTCTGCATATCTCTTTAGAAGTGGACGGTAGAGCTAAAAGAGAAAAAAAAACAAACATGTCCAACCTCAAAATCTGTATTTTTACATGATACAGCAGGTAAAAACATCTTCACAATTGAAATATGCAATGTGGAGTCTCCTTCTCTGGAGATCTTCCAAACCCACCTGGATGCCACCCTGTGCCATGTGCTCTGGGTGTCCCTGCTGGAGCAGAGGGATTGGACTGGATGATCTCTAGAGGTCCCTTCCAACCTCAACCATTTTGTGATTCTGTGATTACTCAAAAAAATGCTGCAGAGCCTTCCTTCCTCAAATGCCACAGTCCTTTTATAACTTAATTTTATGACATGTGCAGGTTGTTCCTATTGCGACTGTGCTCTGCTTGCTATAAGCAGAAGTCATTACCTGCAGAGGAAGCAGCTCTGATAAAGTCACCTCAGCAAGTCTGACATGCCCCTCTATAATAGCTGTCCCAGCCATCCAGGCAGAACTCCTGTCCTTGCCTCCCGTTGCTCTCTCCAGATGGATCACTGCCTCTGCATCCTCCTCCTCTGCCTCGCTAATAAGTACACGGCTACCCTCTAATATGGCTAAATACCCTGTCAAAAAGGTCCTCCTTGGATCAACAGAGACTTCTAAAATACACACTTCAGCTCCCACCCATCTCGTCCTTCTGTGTCCATTTCAGGGGCTTCTTCTCTCGTCTTCACATCTTTCATAGACATGAGTTCTCCAGTCTTTGATCTGCTCCACAGCCTGCCTCCTCACTCCATAATCCTAGCCCTGCAATGCAAAGCAGAAGCCAACTTCTTTCCCCTTCTGAAAATCTGAGTAGCTTTTCTATATTTCCTTACCCTGCAGCTAGAATTTCCCCAGAATTTTAGATCCATAATTGTCACAAACATTAGAAGTGGAATCAAACATTTTCAAAACAAGTTCAAATACGCCCTGTGTATTGGATATGAGTAAGTTCCAAGCTGGGAATTGTTGAATTGTTTCATTTGTTACCTTTTTTCTTTTTCTTTTATTTTCCCTTTTCTTGTTTCTAGTTCAGCTCCGACGATATCTCAGAAGGTTACGTGCTTGTAAGCAACCTGGCTACATAAGCAGAAATCCTGCGCAGAGACTCACCCTACTGCAGCCTCACACACAAAACTGTCCTTCATTTAGATCTGGAAGATACAGCCTCCTCCTTATCTTCTCCTTCTCACCACCTAATAAAATCATTAACTTGACAAGACCCAGCAGAGCAGCTTGGCCCATTTGGTGCCCCTGGGGAGGGGACTGCCAGGAGCCAGTGTGGGGCCTGTGAGATACAGCCAGAGCCAGTCGTCCCTAGGAGGATGGCATAAGGTCACCTCCCTGCTGCAATGAATCCTATGGGCCGCCAGTCTGGTCTACAAGCCCTGAGCACCAGCGTTATTCATAATCAGGGCAGTCTCGCTCCTGGCTCCAGGTTCAAAGAGGTTATAGAGCCATAATGAATCATAGCCAGTAAACTGAGTTATTGCTTTCATCAATAAGTCAGATCCAGCATTTAAATGTGTTTTATCCTTTTCCAGATAGAAACTCTCTGCCAGTAGCTGCATGCACAGGAAAAACTCAGGATGGAGATAGTTAAAGTGCAAATCATGTACAAAGAGACAGTGCTGTTCTTGCACACTATCATGTACAGTCCTCCAATAGGCTCAGTGTCTACAATAGTCACATTTTCTCATATGAAAGAAAATATGTCAAGTGTTTGCATAATTTGCTCATCTGGGAAATAAAAAAGTTAGAATATTTTGTTCTTGTGTTTCAATTGGTGGCAAAATACCCAGTTTCTGTGTTTCCTTCTCCATCAACGATAGCTTCAGCCTGAATAATAAAAGCTGGATTTCTCTATTTCCACCATCCACGATGGCAGGTGACAGTGACTTAATGGATACATTCTGCAGAAGGAGCTTTTTTTGATCAACCCCTCTCTTTTGTCAGCATGATGTTACAGTAGTGTATTTCATCAACAAATTAAGAAGAGAAGGCAGATCTACAGAAAATGGAACCAGAGACCGTTCACTAGGCAAGGTCCTGTCAAGAAGGTTTTTTCAAAACCTCTTAGTGATTAAGAGAGTATCTTACAGTGAATCAAACTTAAACTGTTTAAAATAGAGAAATCTGCTCACTCCTACCTCTGCAATGGACTAATTCAATGACCTTGGCCAAGTCATATAGCGTGTATATGTCCCAACTTCTCTTCTGTACTAGGCAATGATAGCAAGATCCATGAAGACTGTCCCAGGTTTATGGGGCTAGAAAATGCACAGCACTACCAATACTAAATGCCACGAGATGCAGGACACCATCCTTAACTGACTACCTGGTAGCCCTGGCTGTTCAGTGAAGCCAAGTGCCCTGGCTCCCTGTTGAGTACATGCACATTCTTTCCATGCTCTCAGAGAACGTTATTGCTCCCATTTGTCCTGAATATGCACATCTGAATAAAGAAAATATGGAGTAGACAATTATGGCTTATCAGTAAGTCAAACAAAAATGGCCCCTTATTCATCAAAACACCTACAATCAAGGCTTGCTATTTCCTTCTTTGCTATTGTGTAAATCTGATAAACATCACATACTCCTCAACAAAGATTTACCACCACAGAGCTGTATCAGTAAGAGCCAAGCTTGGCTACTGAGAAAACAGACTTCGTATTACTTACCCAGCAGTATTTTTTCACAAAATACACAACAGCACATTCACTAGAAGGCTGATAAGTATTATTGCTAATACATTGCTCTAAATAAAAACATGTCAAAATAAATGAACAACTACATTTACTGATGCACTTTTTCCTGTTTATTGGACTTAAGCACTTAGCCTGCTAATTGACAAAATTCAGGCATTTGCAATAAGCTCCCTGGCCATTAGTTTAAATGAATGCTGCATTATGTCCCGTCTGAAAGCACACAAACAAAAAATCAAGACTGTTTCTTGTAGTCTTTTTTTTCATTTTTTTCTCTGTTCATTTGAGGTAAAGAACAGCCCAGGTCAGAGGTTAACACAAAGTTTTAAATTCCTCTTCATTAGCAAAGTTGACCATAGTTCTCACAGTACATCACTGCCTGGTCAGTGAAGCAGTAGTACAAGCTTTTCATAAAAAGTGTTTTGTAGGGCAGCTTTACACCAGTTAAAGTCCTGCTCCAAGGAAGGGTAGTTCCCATGAAGTATCCAGAAAAAAAAAAAGGCAAACTAGTTCAACTGAGGAAGAAGCCCAAGTGCACCCACCCAGTTGTATTTGTGAACTATTATTCTTCACATTTCTTGCTGAATTGAGTTTACAGAACCTCGGACAACTCCTCCTAAGTGGTTCCAGGAGCATTTTTCCTGAGGCAATTATATAGATTTATTTTTATAATTGAGGTCCAAAGGGAATAAAGAACTCTCAATGATGCATAAAAACTCAAGAACATAAATTCCCTCCCTGTCATAGCCTCAAACCTAATATATCAGACCATGCTATCCAACAGAAGTAATTACATGTATCACAACATGAACCTTATGATTGTCCATAATTTAATTGTCCTTGCTATATTATGGCCTGTTCTCTGCTTATCTCAACAGTCTACTCTGCAACATTAGCAATACTCTGATGGCTTCATTTATAAACCCCAAACTTCACTCCTGGGACAATCTGGCCACACTCTGACAGTCCTACAAATTAATAACAAAATGAAAATGACAAACAATGCAGTGTAACAGAGGATAACTTAACTGCCTTTCCTGGAAAATGCATTCAAATAAACGTTACCTTGCCCTCTACTCCAAATCAACTATGTCACCCTCCTGTTACAGCTCACCCTGATACCAGCCTACGAGCTCAACATGGGTCTCTGTTTCTTTGTGCAACATCTAGAGCAATGGGACATTGCCCTTGCTGTTCTCTGAAAGCAAAATTAGCTAAAATTAGTACTACTATTAAGTTATAATACACATGGATCCTTCTATTGCCTACTAGGCTACATTAGCCAGTGATTGAAACAATTTAAATTTTACAAAAAAAAAAGATGACACTGAAAATTGTTAAAGTAGGCTAAACTTAATCAGGTCTTAGCAAATACTAACTACTTTGAATAGGTTTCAAATGGTTTTGTTTTGGTTTGGTTTTTACTGGTCACAATTAAATTACTTCTGAGTCAGAGATTTCCTTAAGAAACCAAGAGATGAAATTAAAATGCTTTACTTTAAAACTCAAAACAGCAGTTCATCTTGCTTAATATATAATGAACATGCTTAATGCAGAAGGAGAGTGACAGTGTCCAGAAATAAACTGAATAAACTTCAAGGAACCACACCTTAATCAGGCACTTTTTTACTTTACATATTCATTGTGCAAGCATATCTTAATTCATTTAATAGGTTAAAATAAATTTTTATTGGCTAGACAAACCACTTTAATCAAACTCCCATCAATACTTATTATCATATTTCTATGCTTGTATTATTACCTGCTTTGCACTAAATTACCAACCTAACCAATTCTAAAAGACAACCTCTTCCCTCTAAATATCTACCTCAACAAAAATGTCACTTTTTTTAATCAATAGAAAGGTCATTATAACTTTCCTGGGTAACAGGGTCACTTCTATAAATCCACATACTACAAGACAATTCACCAAAGTCAAGAAAACTCGCCTGCCCTACATTTTCCTTTCTTGAATTTCTGCAGGATTAATACATCTCAGTAGAGTCAATAACACAATCAAAAATTACATATCCAGAGGTAGTGAACTGCACTCCATCTTCTCCCTACCAAACCCTACACCACAATATTACAATAAATCTGACACTGTGACCCAGACACACGGCTTGGATAAACACAAGCGATCAACTCCAGACAATCAGGCTCCCTCTCAGGCTTTTTTGCTTAATTACCCAACAAGCCAACCATTTCTGTTTTAATAGATTACTAAAATAGAGTTGAATTCTAATGCCATAATCATAGATTCCTACTCTCTGTTAACATACACTTATTGCTATAACATCCCCTGGTTATTTCTGTCATGCTTAGTGGTTCTGATTAAACTTTTTCCCTTGAGGAAGAGGTAGAAAGTGGGAGAGCGCTACAAAGAGGATGAGATGAGTCTCTATTTTTTGCTATTCTGAAAAAGGGGGAGAGGAATTCATCAGGTTCACCCATTGCTGACTGACTTCAGCTAGCCTGGTTGAGCAGTGACCCAAGATGATCACCAAAGTGGTAATCACCACAATACCTTATGACCTATTTCAATACTTACTGCATTAGAAATAAGCTCAAGTTGTATGAAACACCTATCCTACAAATTTACTACGAGAAGAGGATTAAGAGGTTGGAGTTTTAGCCACAAAGAGTGATTTATCCTCTTTGAAATGGCCTCTGCCAGTCAGCATGGTCTGCTACAGCATCAGGACACATTTTTACGAGGCAAGTTGCAACTAACAGGACTTCAGATTCCACCAATTCACCGCTTATCACAAGTACTATGCCTCCCATCTTGTGATTTTACCTTACTTTACCTGCTCATAAGCTTAACTGAACACAAGAAAAGGCACTAAATCACAACTGGAAGAGTTGTTGTGTATGCTCTGCCCTTCACTTTCAAATTCACACTCAGCATCACAAATGTGATTTTGTTGCTGTTTAGCAATGAAAGAAATTCAGGAGTAAAAATGTGGTTTTGGGTCCTGAAAAGCTCTGAGTGCCTAAACCTTGGCATTTGAGCTGAAGCTACAAACTGTAGTGTTTAACCTCTATCTGTAGGAGGTTTTCCTCCCTCCAGTGATCTAGTACGTGTTGCCTCCAACCTGCATCAAGAAAAAAGGACAAAAGCAGAACGGATTGCTTAGCTATGCCTTGTTCTTTGGTTTTGATTTTGTTTTGTTTTTAACACCATGCCATGTTTTCGCTCTAGCAGTGCAAAATACGCAGGGAGATGGTCCAGGCAATTTCACATTGGTTAGCAAGGCTCTTTCAGAAGAGCTCCTCAGTGAGACAGAACTTTACCTCAGGATGACTTTGAAGTTTATAAAAAGAACCGTCATTTAAGTGAAAGCCTCGAAACCCAACAGAACAAAATTGGATGGACAGGGAGATGCAGTCCTGTAAAAAACAGAATCAAACTGACTCATCACATTATGAATTTTTACTGCACTGTTCATGCTAACACACTGTATTACTGACAAGCCTTCTGGCTTTATGCAGTTTCGCAGCCATGAAAGTAGCCAGGGAATTCACCATCAACTGTAAAATTGTAAGACAGGAAGAAAAGAAAAAAAAAAAACAGTGCGGAATTGGTAATTGTAAGAAGCTGCTTTTAATGGAATGAAGCTGGCAAGCTAAGCTAAAGCACAGGAATAGTTATTCCTTCACAGGAATAGTTATTCCTTCACATGTTGTTTGGCCACTATCTTCTCTATCATTCACTCGTATCTATTGGGGCAATAATTCACTGTTGTACATCATTTAAAACCAATAAAAAGATGGGCTATGAGAGCCAGGCCTAACCAAGTGGAAAAAGAGAAGAAAGGTATTGAGAGGGAAATAATTAACTGTTCTAGCTTCCAGGCCATTTTACGCAGACAGTAAAATAGGAAGAGGTAAATGAATTCCTCCCTGGTCTTTCTAGTTAGCCCAGGCTGGTTTCTGCAGGGGTGCAAGGTGCTTGCTGCTCTTGCTGGCCTTGGTGAGCGCAGCTCTGCTCCTCGCCCTTGGCTTTTAGAGCTGAAGCAGCCCTGGGGCTCAAAAGCAGCTCCTGGGGCACTTGCCACCTCCACACGAGCCAGCCTGTCTGCTTTCCAGCCACCAGCATTTTCTGGGGGGGAACAAGGTTTTGTGTGGGCTCGAATCAGACACCAGGGAACTGCTCCCAAGGCGAATTCCCCACAGCTCCAGCAGCAACACGCACAGCACAGGTCATTGCTGCTAATTATTTTATCTTTTAAAATGAGGGGGGAAGGTTGAGTAAATGAGATCAGATCAATCAAGTTTAAATTATTCAATGTCTTAATATTTCTGAAGGGGACTTCTATTCGATTACGGAGCTCCTCTATCTCAGTTAATAATTAAATAATATGCTGGCAGGCACAATGCAGCATGATCATTTCTATTATTACTCATGATGATATCTGGTGCTCCACTACACATGTAGCTCAGAGTTAGTAGTTTTGGCAGATCATTAATTTCCCAGTTTAAATAAAAGCTTTAAAATCTTGATGCCTGCAGTTAAGGCATACCCGAGTCTCATACACAGACTGAAACACCGTGTTGATGTAAAGAAAGTTTTCCATACAGCTGAAGATGGAGTTAGATTTACCTTTGATTGTTTAAGTCAGCATTCTCTAGGATTCTTGCTATATTATATTACTAATTTATTAGCTAGCACTGTATATATCAGAAGAACCTTGGAAGCTGATGATGAGAGATGCAGAGTTGTACTGGAGGCCCCGAGACAAATTCCTTCCTTGGTTTAACGTGGGCTGGAACTGTGTTGTTGTTAGCAATAATGACCAATTGCAATGAATAATTGCTTTGCTTTATCCATGGGGCCTATAAAGCACAAGTTTCACCTTTGGGCAGGCTGACATTTCCAGGATGGGCATGGTAGAAGAACTGTGCCTATATATTCCTCCTAGCTGACACTTTTCCAGCTGTTCTAACTGAGAGATGTGAGCAGCAGCTGACCACTGTTTAAGATCAGTCTGGAAAATATTTTTTAGGTTGTTTTCCAAAAGAGGAAAAATAATCTCAGCATATTTTTTTTTCAATACTCTCTGACCTGTGTCCAAATTCAACCTATTTTGTAACTTACTTTGTTTCTTAGGGAATAGATTTTGCCTCTCTGATCACATCCAAATAGGAAAAGCCACTCTCTCAGATCAAGATAGAGTGATCATTTAGATATTGTATTATTGCACCATTAGAGATCTCTCTCAAAAAAAAAAAAAATCAATCTTTACATCAAGGATCAGAAACTGAGTTAACAAAGTGTTTCTTAAGTTAACCTATTTTGCTAGGAAAAAAAAAATAGAAAAATTAGTAAACCACTGTGTTTTGAAGCAGAAGAAAGAAAAGGCAAATGGCATTTGCAAGGTTTCTCACCTCCTCAGCCCCCACGGTTGGTGTCACAGCCAGTCTAGATTCTGGTGCTAATTTCACAACATCAGCCAAGGACACACCAGTCTCAGCCACAAGCCCTGCAATGAGAATCACAAGCCTGATCAATGCAAAAAGCGAGATGAGGGATGTGTCTGTGCTCCCTGGCAAATTAACACATTATATTGATTCTCTCTGGTCAGGTCAGCATTCAAGATTGAAGGATAAATGGCCAAAGAGCTTACATTCCAGTGCACTAGTCCAGGAAGTGGGGGCTCTGAAATTGAGTTTTTGCCAATCACTCAGTTCAGACTCTGGAGAATAGGCAAGCAGCAGAAATGCTGTTCAACAATATCAGTAATTATTTATGGCTACAACAATAAACAGCAGCAAAAATGTGCAAGGAATTCAAGGACAGAATGTGACTAAACCAAAAAAAATAGTAAAAACAGCATCAAGAAAGTATGTTACAAATCCTCATTAAACATATTGATATATAAAAGGAAACAGAATAATAAGGGAATCCCACTAGTCCAGCATTTTGCTTTGTTTTTCAGGAGTTCCTTGTAATTCCCGCCAGGAATCCCAGGCTAACTGTGAAATACTACTGGTGGATATACCCTGTAATGTTATTAAGGCATCATTGCCATCAATATTTCATTTATATTAGCAGGTCTTCACATTTACCCAGTTCCTTTGCTTGACCAAGAGTGAGTCAGCTCAAGGCATCAATGAAAAATACCATTATGAAGTGCAGGTAGCCCAAATTTTCACTCAGAGGCTCTGTCAGTCAAGCCCTGGGGGTCTGGTATCTACCAGACTGGTAGAGAGAATTCACATCTTCCAGCCATATGAAGTAATTCAACAAATTTTAATGGAAGCTCCACGTTTCACATGTGTTCCTGGACAAGGAATTTGCCTGTAGCACTACAGATAGGGAAGGGTCTGGTGGTTTCTGAAGCAGTAGGCAGAGTTTGAATAAAAGAGAGAAAACAAGTTTGGAGATTAGGTCCCCAGGGTGGAAAAATGTTCTCACCATGGCTGCAAATGGACCAAAAATCTAATGGTATTTCAAAAGCATACTTTGCCTGACAGAGCCCTTCCATCTTTTCTCGAAATTAAGAGGTGATCATGCTCTGTGTGTTAAACACTGGCTTGATGTCTTGGCTGTGCAATTTTCTGGGCTACTTTCAAATGCAGGAGAGCAAGCAGCCTTGAGAAGCTATAATGTGACAGAAGAATTTGCTTCTAAAATTAAAACTTGGCTGATTTTCCTGATGGTTGATGTTTTCATGCTTGTGGCAGTGCCATGATGTTACATGAACTTGTATGGAAGTTATCCATTTTCAAAAAGGCCAAAGCACAAGGTTTTATTCCGGGTAACTGAAGCTAACAAAGTTGGCCTAACAAAGGACTTCAAAATGCAATCCTTACTCCTGAACTTATTTAGCAGCAAGGTATTACAGGAACTGTTTCAAAATCCCCAAATAAAATGTACTGCCTGGGATTTAGTTCTATTAAATGGCTGAGAGCTCACCTTCAACATATAACAGCATGCATTAATAGATATCAGTTAAATAACACTTTAAATCTGGAACTTGGACTGTTGCATTACACTGAGTGATGTTGTATAAAACAAAATGACTGGGCAACCTAAGAATATCCCAAGATTTATGCTTTTGTGAAACAAAGTGCACACAGCTTGAGTATGAGGAGTCCAGTAAAGCTTGAACATCCTTTATCTCGACGTTTAAAAGCTCTAAGATATATATAGGTTTAATGACATTTATTTAGTCATCATTATTTCTAGACTTGTCTACGCTGCCTTCTCTAATTTTCTTTGTGGGGATTTATTGTTTGGTTGCTTTGACCATCGCAGAGATCCAGTTTATATCATGGTCCACAAACTGAGGCAGTGGGGTAAGCTGACACCCTCAGCTGGCTGTATTCGTCCCCAGAAAATCTACCTAGAGACAGCAACATAACATGTAAAGGTCCTAGACCCTCCCCTATCCATCTTAGCAGTTTCCAGATCCTATCTTTAGTTGAAAATCTTGACCAGATTTGAATAATAACTTCAGTGTTATCCTTGGACTTTATGAATGCATAAGAATACAAGCGCAAACGCTCCCTTCGACTTCAGGGACCTTTCGATCAGATCCACACCTCTTTATTCTCTCCTCATGTTCAGTAACATTAATCCCAATTAATAACCAGTTGCAATTAAGCGCCCAGATCACTCAGAAGTTTCTCCTTACAGTCTTACCATGGATTGCTCTGTAAGCACTTCCTAAACAAGCAGAATTGGCGGTATCCATAGTGTACACTGGTGCGTTGAACACGTCAGACAGGACCTGAGAAATACCAAAGCAACAGTCACACATGTCCATGAAAAGACAAGGAATAAGCAATCCTCACATACTGTACGCTCTAGCTAAGCATTTGGGCACACACTAAAACAGGCAGCAAAGGCAAAAACTCCTGAACTCTGTCACACTAAAAAATATTGGTAAATGTGACCTGCAGATGTAACGACCGTCAGGAAATGAAGCTCCATTTCTCTCCAGATCTCCTGGGTCCCATTCTGTTGTTACAAGTTCAGAGGATTCTGAATTTAGCTATCATCTCCCTCATAAGCCCAGACAAGCAGCCCATGCCAAAGGCTTACAACACAGTAAGGATTTCTCTTCAGGAAGCCACAATTGGTTGTGGTGACAGTTTTCTTTCATCACTCTTATGGCTCAGCCAAGTGGGAAGGAAGGAGAGAGGGATCAGTCACAGCTCCCTAATTCTCAGTTTTCATACAGTAAAAGTCACAGCGGTATTAAAGGCTACTGTCTAAGCCTATATTCCCAGCCTCCAGCATTCCCATCACGTTGGGTTGGGGTTAGCAAGAAGAACAACATAGGTGCTGGTCACACAGGCTACACCTACCAGGGCCTTTCCTGTATTTGAGAAATCTTTAGCTGAAAAGATATGTCAAGTTTGCTTGAACTCAGCTATACGAAAAAACAAGTTACACGCAAAGAATTTGTTTTGATATCCAACAGATACTAAATTTATTCCACCACACATCATACCACCCACTGCATTGAGCTATACACCAGCCATCTCCTCTTCATGAATATATGCACTCTTCCCTGCAGTGCAGGTTTAGGAAAACTGATACTGGAAGGGAAAAATGAAGGTGTATTTGCATAAGGAAATAGGAGGTTTAGGAACGCAGGAGGCTGAAAACTTTGTCCAAAAACTCACTTCCAATTAATTAGACACTCTGGTTTCATCAGCTCTAGGGCTGCCGGGCCCATCAAGCTGACAAAAGAAGTACGTAACCATTCAGATTTAACCGGGTTTTAGTACTTTTAGCAGAGGCAACAGTGCATCACCTGAATCACATCAGTAAAAGAGAGACTAAAATAAGGTCACAGTGTCCAAGAATCCAAACCTGCAACTCTGATCCAGAGATTTACAAATCCTCTGATCATAGGCCAAAGAGCTTCACACAAGATGACTAAAGAATTTAATTTATATATGCTACAGAAAACACAATGTGTGATATTTCAGAAGGATTTTGTCTCTCAATCTGAAATTTTTGGGAAGCTTCACAACAAAATGTTTGAATATCTTTCAGAGTTTGAAGTAAAGCAGCTAGTTTTTAATGAGAATCCAACGAAAGCCTGAGCATACACATTTAACACACTCCCTTTGATAATATCGCCAAGGAAGTGCTGTCTAACTTCTGTTTGCAAGCAAGCATCTAGCAATATATGAGCCTCAGTGCTGGAGGACAAATGGAAAATTAATCACGGTATCTATTAAAAAGCCCTCTGGAAATGAGAAGGTCGTGGAGTGCTGGTTGAACAGCTCATGCTACTAGCCAATAATATTGTATTGTCTCACCACATTCCCCATCCGTTTCTTCATCTCTATTAGGTGGTTCTTGTCTTACACTTAAATTGAGATTTCCTTTGGAAAACAGAGGTCTTTTGTTTTTGCATCCCTGCAGAGCCTTCTACAACGCAGCCCCAGTGTACACTGAATGCTAATACGGACCTGAATACTCCAAGTAAATAACAACTACCATGTGCATCACACGACTATCAAATTAAGACTGTTCTGAAGACTGGTATATTTACTAAATCATTTGAAACTGTGATTTTTCTCATGAATAATTTTAAAAGCAACTGTTAGAGGTTTTACTGTCAAAAATATTTCACCATGATTCATGTGGTCATTAATCAAGCACTACATATGCTCTATAAAGCTGCCCAGGCGAGGGGGGAGAGCTGTCCTAATATGGCTGTATTTTTTAACAGATTTTCCTAAGTTGCTTCATTTGCAGTGTAAAATGTAGGAGTTACAGAATGTTGATTAATTAAATGATAGTCTTTTGTAGCTCTGAAACAAATTATCCAAAACTGACCATTATTATAAGGGGTGGAAACTGTTATTTTTCATGCAACTGATATGGTTTTGGGGGTTTTGATTAAATTAAAAAGGAGGATCCAATTACCCAGCGATTGAATTAAGTGGATGACATTGTATTGATCATATTATTTTAAGACACTTCTAATGAGTTTTCAAAGCAGCTCTGTTGTTACACGTGAACAGCCAGCACTAGAGCAGTCACTTGCTCATCCCCACACCTTTTCAGGTCTCTACATTTCAGAATTTCATGTTACAAAAAGAGTCAGTTTTCTGCCTTCATTCCATAGCAAGGAGATCCTCCTAGCACCTCAGCTGGATCTACAGCTTTAAAACTACATCCATCTATTAATTTAATCTCTTTCTTGACATATTCTTAGTGGAACCGCTCCAATAGCGATCAATGTTTCAATCAATAAAGCTATCTGTTAAATTTTCCAATGCCAAGTAAAATAACCAAAAGCAAGTGAAGAAAACTGAGCAAGATAACCCAAGAAGATGGAGAAAAGTGGTATCTACAGGCAAAATATGTTGAATTTGTTCTGTCCCAAGCAGCTCTAGAGCTGATATAAACAGGTGTTTTGGGCAACTTTGGAGAAACAGCTTCCACTCTTTGCTTTTCGACCTCCATTCACTGCAGGTCTCGAAGTAGAAATGACATTCATTTCATACAATTTTAATCACCAAGGAATACGGCATGTGGATCAGCAGCTAGACTCCCTATGTAGCTACTGGAAAGGGACTGACATCTCCAGAAAGCAATTCTATCTTGACCAACATCAATGTAAGGATTCAGCCCAGAATTAGGTACCTTTTGATGTAAATGTCTATCTTCACTATGACTGACAAATAAAGAGGCCACAGAAACTGGGTAACCTCCCATTCCTGTCAGGGACCTTCAGGATGGGGTCAGTGTGCACAAATGGAGAGCATGTGGCACTCCGTTGTGAGTTCCAGTTAAGGAACTGGAGCAGAGGGTGAGAGGAAGGAGGATGGACTCTACAGAAGCAGAGCCTCCTACACAAATGTGCTGTAATGCTAATCAGTAACAGATATTCAAAACAGCAGGACAAATATGGTTTTTTTTTCCAGTTTACAACATCAGCATAAGCCCTCTCTAATTTAAATCTACGGTCTAATTTGATCTTAATGAAAAAAAAAACCCAAAAATCCCAGGTATCTTATTATCAAGTCTTTGCTTGATTTTTTTAGCTGATTGACTTGACAAAAGTGATTTGGCTTGGAAATCACCAGTGTTTCATATGCACATAAAAGTAGTCAACTGTAAAAACCAGGGTAGTTCAACATGAAATTAACATTAGGCTAATGCTCTGCACACTAAACTTGAGCAAAAGCCCAAAGACCTAAAGCAGACTCCGCAACCTACTCTCCCATGCAGCTGTAGTGCTTTGGATTCAGTACATCAATATAAAACTAGAGAGAAGACTGAGCTCAATGCAATTGATTTAATTTTGTACTTACCTGCAGGATCTTTTTATTGTGGGATGCTCCACCGGTAGCCAAAATCCTCGTTTGTGGCACTGCAATGCAATGCAAGAAACAGGTCAGACTGAAAGTGCCTCTTGTCAGGATTTGCACTACTGAACCAAGCAATGAGAACAAGGCAGTGAGAGTCAGATGGTCTGGGCTCTCTCTCTGCACATCTAATCTACCTACTGTAAAAACGAAGATAAAACCAATTACCCACCATTCCAAGGCACATCAGAACACTTCATTAGAAGACCAAATATAAATACTGCAGTTCTATTATTATAGCACTATCAAAGGCATGAAGATTTGCAAAGAGGTATACAGTAGGAAAGGCAGAGTGTTATTACACTATAGCTCTTGTTTGAGGTCAGTTTGGTTTGGAACACAGACTGACAGATAACCTTTAAGATCAGCAGTGCTTTCCAAAATTATCTCCGTATGACGTTCACAGTCGGGATTCACCGAAATGTGGGCAACGACAAGAAAATGTGTCAGAAGGTAATAAAAGATGGTCTAAGCCATTTCAAAAACTATCTGAATCTTCACGCAAGGCCAAATCACAGCTTTATGGGTTATTAAAAAATAAATAATTCTGCTTCCTTTAGCCTTTTAAGAAATTCACTCTCCACCCTGTCTTCCTGAATTTTGGTCCTGTGTCCTGTCATTTATCTGTGCGTGCTCTTCTGCAGCATGCCATTCAACAAGACACATATCTATCTATAGCCACAATTTAGCAAGGTATTTAAACATGAGTAATCCAGGTGATCTCACTGAAATTCCTTAAAGGCTCAGAGCCTTTAAAGGGAGGGAGTTACAATGGTTATTGCTTTGTTATCTTCAGTTTTAGTAAAAACTGAAGATAATTGATTTCACACAAAGGAAAAGTTGCTCAACTTGTACTGGGGCCTTAAGCAGCTTGTTGCCAATTGTTTTTTTTAAGTGTCTTAAGGACAAAAGCCCTGAAGATGAAAATAGCAACCAAGAGAAGATGGAGCTCACAAACCTTCCCCATGCCCTTTCTAAACCTCCAGTGAGGTGCTCATGTGAAGCCCAAGATCCAAACAAAGCACTGCATGGGGGACCCTATTTTTGCTGATAAATGTAATTTTATTTTCTTCTTGGGAGGGCATTCAGTGATGCACAAATTGGGTTTTAAAAGCCATTAGGATCTCTGTCAATGTCAATAAACAAACAAAAGAAACAGCAGAGTGATTCCTCGGGGAAAACAGGTTTCAATTACACCGACACAGAGTGACAGATCCCTCCCAAGATTATCACAACAACATGATAGCACAGAAGCCAGTAAAAAATAATGAGTAAGGCCATGTTCTCAAAAGACAAACTGAAGCCTAAACACCCGGCAGTTGCAATTGTGTCTTGCTAAAGCCTGTTGCGAGTATCAGTTCCTGCAGAAGCAATGTACCCGAGACAAAACCACCCCTGGAAATGAGCTAGCAGAGCAGAACGGGAAGCGAGCACCTTCACTGAACTGCACAGGGACTAAATCCGAAGAACAAGGATTGCCTCTTCCTGCAGGAAAAGGACGGGATGAGGTGCTGGGCTGCCACCACGGTGGAGTGGTGAGGGATGGTCACGTCAAGCACTGGCCACCCCAGGGGACACTGCAAACCCATCTTCGCTCAGCTGCTCCTCACCAATGATGTTTTTGCACTAGGAAACGGGGGACAGGCCAGGAGACAGCAGGTCACCAAGGTGACACCCACAGCGTCTGTTGACTCAAAATTTCACAGTATTTCTGATCACTTTGCCTAGTCCTATATTACCTGAGGCTATCCAAATGATTAGCAGCTACCAAGGTGAAAATTATACCTTGTTGGGTGTTACTATACCCTTCGCCTGGATGCTACAGAAACCTCTCCTCACCTCTATGTCAGAAGAATTAGGTTTTGTCTACATATATTTATACCATAACCACAACTTAGAATACTGCTATAAGAAAAGCAGGGATAACTTTACAGTGCATTCATTTTTTCTATAGTAACCATCCCTACATATGCATTTACCATACTTTTAGTGAAGTTAGACATCTACCAAGAGGGGAACCCGACCTTAAATCTAAAAATGTTTAACTACTGGATTATCTGCATATCTGTCTTAATCCTCACTAATTCCTCTTCAGTTAAATGCTAAGAATTATTCCAGGATGTACCTAACCGTCTATTGTGTCTCCTTGATAAAATAAACAAAATAACTTATGAAGTTTCTAACATTGGCTGAACTTGTCACGTTTTAAAATGGATCAAGAGTACAGATCCAGTACAATGGATCTCAAGTTTGGACTCAAGAGTACAAACACACAAAGATTCACAGTAAAAATGAATACATACATACGTACATACATAAATATGTGTTTCAAGTTACATGAATGGGAAATCATTTCTTCTCCTCCCTTCTCGTAATGACTGCACCTCTCCTCACCAGAACTTGTCCCAGCAGGTGACAGCCTGGAGAACCTTCACCAGAACCGTTCCACCACTGAACATGATGCCCCGTATGGTCTGTCCTGACTGGTCTGTTCTGACCACATGGACAGAGAATCTGGTTCACTTTCTAGAGGCAGCTCTGGTTAGAGTCAGAACAGGGACAATGGTTTTCTTGGTCAAGGTTCAGCCAGTCTTGACTACTCCTGAGATGAGGAGCAAGTTCCAAAACAACCGATCTGAATTCACTGAATTTAAGGCATTTCAGCCTCTCCTAAGAGTGAGGAAAATGCATAGATCATGGTTTCGGGGACTGTCTTTTTAATGCCAATACTGTGTGCTTTCCTGAACGGTGGACATTTGCTCTGAGATGTGTAATTGGATACATCTTATAAATAAATAAAGAAAAGCCCATCATTTATGTATACAGGGGCATTAACAAAGACATCGTTCATCCATCACCAGCGGTGTTCTCAGCCAGCTGCATTTGAATCCATCAGGAGCTACCCCTACGGCAGTGCACAGAAAGAACTTAAATACCGTGTTACCAAAAAAACCCAACAACTGTAGCAAACATAATTCATGAATTCGATTCCCTGACAGTGGAGAGAATTGGTTTAAACATCTTTTAATTAAAGGCCCCCTGCACAGAACCTAACCAACCTGTTTATTTCCTTCCTGTTTAAAATTTTATGATTTTGAGAGAGCTGATGCAGGATTTTAACCCTGTCTAAAAAGCATTTGCTGTGGGATGTGGCATTGTGTCATCCTGCAAGACACACTCACTGAACAGATCTATTATCCACTGTGGGGACTGATCTAATGAAAATCACTTAAAATAATAAATCCCACTGGAAGGAGGGGGAAAAAAAGGCACAGGTAACAAAGTTTACTTACACAGCAAGACTGAGGACTACACATTTTGCATGCAATAGTGAGAAGTTAACCCATTTCCAATCCCATTATTACTCATAACACTGATTTGCACAGAGATCCGTCTAGAAGAACTGAATGATGCTGGAAGTTCATTTCCTGACCATTGTTTTCAGTCAAAAAAGAAAAAACCTTTAATTAAAAAAATGGGTTAAACACTCTTTAACTCTGTAATATGAATTTCCACTGCTAGGTCCAGCTTGTCCCCCCAATGCCAGGTCCCTGCTGGCATTCAGAATTCCTAAGAGACATTCACGAGCTCTTTCCCATCAGAAGCGAATCCATAAATAAAACAGAACAAAAGCGCTTGCATCCCAAAAGCAGCTGATTATGCACACAAACCCACACCAGCTATAAGCGTGATTGCGAAAAACTGCAATTTACAATTTGCAAGCAATAGTGAAAGCATCAGCTCCTCCTTTATTTCTCTGATTAACTCCAAACACTGTAATTTTAGGAAAATGTATCTTTTAGCTTCTTTCATTCAAGAAAAGCGAAACACAAAATATATCCTCATTTTATCCCATTTATGAAACAAACGCTCCAAAATTGGCCTACTTATATATTAGCGCTTCCAAAACTCATGCTAATCTTTCTTATTCATATAAACACTGGGAAATTAAGCTCCTGCTATGGTGCAAGGCTTATCTTGTCTATACCCTTTTAAATATGAAAGCCCACACAGCACTTTACATTTTGTGCCTGTAAGTCTCAGGAATGGATCCAAAGGCACCTGCTTCTCTATCTGCGGTGCTACGTTACATCTGACTTCTCAAAATATATCAATAAAGTGACCCTTAGTATATTAGTTAATACTAAGGGAAAAGTCATGTAAACTAGAATGCTTTTTATTTTTTAATTAGGGACAACTAATTTTTTTCTTAATTAAAACTACAATTTTACAGTAGCACTGTAAAAAAGTACCGCCACAGAAGCATAACTACACAAGTGAGGGATTAACAAGCTTGAAGTCAAACTCAGACATCATTACTGTACTAAAAAGAAAATTTTAATACTTAAAATCCATACAAAAGGAATGTATTTTTTAAAAGTGTTTCTTATCTCTATTTCAGAATGTCAGTTCATTTATCAGAGAACAGCAAGCCACATTTGCCACATAGGATGGCTGTTTTCTCACTTGTAAACAGAGATTTCACATTTCATGATTTGCTTTATTTTCATTGAGGGTTTCAATTGCTCAAATGTCAAGAATTTTCCAGATATAGCCTCTTTTTTTTTTTTTTTTTTTTTTTTTTTGATAAAGTGCCTGGGGGGAAAATAAAACCTTTAAGGATAGAATTGATCATCAGCCTATAATGTCACAGCTATCACCTGTAATTCAATAAAGGAAAAAAAAAGACTCCGTTTTCTCAACAACAATGACAAACATAGTTAATATTCTTGATTATTTATGCTACATACATAGTTAAAGTCTCTACAAAGATGAGACCTGGCATGGTTCTTCTTACTTAGAGGAATACCACTAAGATGAGTGGATGCGCATAAGCATAAAGAAAAGAGTAAAAATAATTCCCAAACCATTTTATGTGTTACTATTAACAACAAGAGGAAGGTCAGAGAGAATGTGGGTCCACTAGTGGACGAGGTGGGTACCCTGGTTACGGAAAACACGGACAAAGTAGAGCTGCTGAACACTACCTTTGCTTCGGTGTTTG